GACACCTGTCTTTCAAACCAAGACAGCATACTTGGACTACGTAAATGAATTCCGGGAACCCATCACCATAAGGCTGCCCTTTTCAGGAAATCTGATGAATATGTATGATTTTTGTGTATATGAACTGATGTGTTCTGCTAGCCCGTTGGAGCACTCATGGTGGAGCATCCCCAGTGCTGTCCAGCGCTGCAATAAAGAATGCCTGCTTGATAACACTGTTGTTATTGAGTTTTCATCTCGGAATCCTTACCCAGCCGCACCTAGCCTCCCACCTCGGTGAGGAGCGTTAGAAAGCAAGGAGGTTTGGAAGCTCTGAATTTTTTATCAGTGTGTTACAGCGGAGTAATGCCACTGTAATGTACAGCCTGTTTGATTAGTGCCTTATCCTTTCTGTACCTGACCCTGAATCAGATGTAGCTGTAAACAGAACGTGCTTTTGATATTGCTGAATGATGGTGAGAGGTCATCAAATATTTCCTATGTTATGGTGTAAAAAACAATAGTCATGCTGGTTGGTTGTTACTAGAAGTCACTGGTAAATCGAGCCTCAGAAAGGCTCTACTTTGCCTGCCCGGTTCAGGTAATTGCCTAAAATAGCAGACATCCTGTTGGTAATAAAACTAAAATTGTATTTATATTAAAAAAGTAAGAAATTCAGGTAGTATGCTGCCTCCTCTTTTAAACTACTGTTAGAGGCTAAACAGTATCTAAACTCCAGTTCCCTACTCCAGAGACAAGTAAGAGTTACTGGTGTTCAGCTGGAAAAGCTTTAGAGTGCCTTTATAATTGTGGAGTGTATGTAAGTTTACAGCTACTATTTAATGCAAACTTTTAGTTTTTTTGTTCCTTCCTTTTTGTAGTCTGAAAAATATCCTGTAATTAGATTTAGTTATGTAGCACTGCTGTTAGTGCGAACTGTAGGGGTTATGTATTACAATACATAGCCATAGATTAAAAGACCAAATATGAAACCCGGTGAAACCCCTGTTGTGTTGTAAACAAAATCAATTTCAGACTGTAAGAACACGCAACCCTCAAATTAATTAAAAAATAATAATTAATGGCAGAGACTATTAAGCAGTGTAAAGAACTAGCTAATAAAAGACAATTCCATACATATAATACTTATTTAAAAATACCTGCATGCATTTGAAGTCAAATCCATGTGCTCAGCTTAAAAAGCCTACCAGCAAAGTACAGAAAAAGCCTTACTGGTTGTGAATACTAATGCTGTTTAAAGAAAGTTGCTAAATGTTGGAAAACTGTTTCATGGTTGCCTAGGAAGCTACAGAATAACAGGAAAATAATGAATTGTTCACTCTCAAATTAATCACTATATCATGAAGTTAAATGTACTACTATACAGTACATAGAAATACAGACATAATATGTAAAAAGAAATCATGTAATTTAGAAACAGTGTAAACCCTAGTATAAAAAAAACCCTCATATTTGTGTACTTTGCTTAGATATCTAGAATATAACAGACAATTTTCAGGTTTAAGCTTCTAATTGGTGTTTAAATTGTCCATTGCATACTGCTTGTGGGTTGGTTTTTCCTTGATCACATACAATACTTTGAAATTTCTGAATTAGTGCTTGCTACTGTTGTTTCAAAATCCTTTAAAACTAGACTTTGTGTAAGCAAAATATTGTTGGGAGCACACTAATGTTATGAATTAATAATTTATCAAATTAATGAATTTTGCCCAAGACAAAAATATCATGCTGCTATGGTGTCTAATGAACCTGTACACTGCCAGTAGCATACACAATGAAGAGTGATCTGACTAGGGTTTTGTGCCCGCAGATCACAAGATTTTGAGGCCTTATTGTTTGGACAGTATAGTATGGTAAAATCCAGGCCCTGATGTAGGGAGCCAGCGAGCTGACACAAATGTGTTTGCATTTCATGTGACGTTTCTGTGAGAAATGCAGTGTTCACTATCTTGCAGCTGCTTCAAGCCAAAGGGATTTTGGTGTCTTGCATGATGGCATTCGTGTTCAGAATTGTGCTTTTTGTTGCCTAAGGTTGAAAACAGGAATTGCAATTTTATTCAAGTTTACTACAACCAGATTGGTCTGTGTTCACCTGCCCTTCAACTGTGAACTCTAAGATACCTGAACATACTATGATATATTCTTTTTTTGAAATGGACAGAATTTTAGTGACCAAGAAATTTTGTTCTTCCCTGTGTTGGGTTGATTTGTTCTGCCAGTAATAAAAGTAGGTAAAACGGATGTCTGGGGAGAAAGCATGTATGACATTTCTGTTTGCTTGAAACTCCCCTCCAGCTGCTTGCCGAGTTAGGAGATTTTTCCCATAGATCACAGGTAGGCATTTCTGAACATCCTCCAGAAGAAGTCCAGCTTCACTATCGTTCACAGGTGGGGATCTAGTGCTGGCTTTAGATTGCATTTACCAGATAACGCAGTGTTTTCATCAGAACTGCTGTCATCAGCTGGGAGAAGCAATTCCTGAAGGGCTTTGTCATAAGTGCTTTCTTTTGGTTTTTTAATCCTTCAAAGGACCCTTGTGAAAGAGCTTTGACTCAGGATCTCTGAGCAGCGGTGGCTGTTTCAGGCGCTTAACTCATTAGTGGCTTAAGTAGGGTGCTGGGCTCCGAGCTGGAGTCCAAGGAGGCTGCCTTTCTGCTTAGGCTGCAGGTGTGGCATGGGCGAGGAGCTGTCTAGAGCAGCTACATTTCTCCAAAGGGGTCCATCAGCAGCTCATCCCAGTTCAGAGGGGTGACGTTCTGGAACTGTTTGCAAGAGGTATGGCCTGCTTGAATATTTTAATTCTTTTGAGCGCTCTACATTCAGGCCTCAGATGTATATTGCTACTGTCTCTAATTTAATTTCGAGAGTCTTGGTTTTTAACAGCTTTTAAACTTTTTTTTTTCCCCCTCTCATTGTGATATTTTTGGCAGACAGGAAGTGAGAACTGGCCTCCACGTCCATGGTGAGCTTCCCACAAGCTCGTTCCTGGAGCAGTTGTCTTTAGAAAAGCCTTACAAGTCAGAGCCAGAGGTAACAGATGCAGCAATTTCAGGTCAAAATTCCATGTAGGCTTACATTTCCCCAAAGGTGATTATACAACTGTGCGTGTTTTACACAGTGTTACATACTTCAGCTGAAGAGTCTAAATCAAATTTTTAAAAATTTCTTAATTAAAAAATGTTGTTTCTTACCTGTTCAGAGCCTCTGCCGTAGCAGATGTATGTAATTGTGATGTTCTATCATCAGGGAAAAACTCTTCCAATTTTTTCAGAACTTTGTTTCAAACTTGTTTTGAAAACGTAATTGCAAGTGGCAAATGGAGCTGTAGCTAAAATTATTTTATCTTCTGCTTCAGTATTCTGTATGTGGTTTTGATTGTTCGAGACCTCTGAGGGAATAAATAGGCCAAAGGGTTCATAACCTTGTTAAGTAGCTGGGTATAGCTCTGAACTGTCCAAATTGCATTCGGCAGTGAACATGCCACAGTAGGGAGAATGCTGTGTTTGTCTGCCTGGGCTCTGGTGGGCTTCTGGTCTGTGCTTCCCCCCGTCCTCAGCCTGTGCTCGTTTTTGCTGAAGTCCTTGAGGAGCTGTTGCAATCCAGCTTTTGTGAAAGTCGAGTCCTGACCATGTAGCGTGTCTCATGTAAATTGTTTTTGTGGCTTTTATACCAGACCTTTGATTTCCATCTAGCAGTAACTGAAATCCTGCTGATGCAACCAAATAATCTTGTAGGTCCTCCACCAGGCCAGAGGTTGCGAGCATAGAGCTGGCAGATCAGGATGAGCGCCAGTGTTCGCAGAAGGCTGTTGTCCAGGCACGGTCCTCACAGCCCACACGTCTGACAAGCATCATCTTTGCGGAAGATATAAGTAAGTTTTAACTTCTGTAAGCACGCCACTACTTGTTTATGGGTGTCTTGGTGTACTCCAGAAACAAAAGTAGAGATAAAAGTGCACAAACCAAGAAATTTGCATTCATGTGCATAGTAATTTTAGACTTTCCATGGGCGTGGTTTTTAAGTTCTGTTTGTTAAAGGCCTCCAGTAAGTGTTAATGATATTAATGGTACATCCACAAAAATGGGTAATTCTTTAAAAAAAAGTAAGGGGTGGTGGTGGCTGAAAAGTAATTTTCAGTACATACTTTTTATATAATGCAAATTCAGATGTTTTGCATTTAGAAAGCTGGAAATTGCCTTTTTGTCTGTCATACAATATGCCTGTTTAGTTTTTATAATGACAGATGGGCAAAACCAGATGGTCAATTAAATGTCTTGCAGTCTCTAAATGAGGAAGTGTATAGGGGTTTATTGTCTGCGGGTAAAAGTCATTAAGTTCTTTAGGACATGAGCAGTGTCTGACCCTTGCCCTGTAGAAACTCCTAGTATGTACACAGAGAGAAGGTCTATAACTGTTAGTGTAGATGGAAATCACCATTTTAAGATTTGTTCTGCAGTCCAGTGAGGAAGAGAACTGCTTTTCTTGCTTCCTCAGCCGTGGTCACCATTTGATCAAGAGTTTATTAGTGAAGGTCATGACCTAGTCTCAGTTCCGTCAGTGTCTTGTGTCATTGGCTAAATTTGATGTGCGTTTTGCTTGTTGGTGTTCTTGATGACCACATCCAGTTTGCTGATTTCATGTGCTCTTTCTGATGTCTCTAAGTGACTGGACAAGTGCTTCGTTGTGATGCTATAGTTGATATAATTCATGGCATCCAAATTGTGTCCACAACAAGAGAACTCTATCTTGAAGATTCACCACTGGAGCTAAAAATTCAAGCTTTGGATTCTGAAGGTAAGAGATTACTAGTAGGAGATAAAACGTATATTGAAACTCTTAATGTGCACTGGTCTGATATGTCTGATATGTGCACTGGTTTCATTTATGACACAGTTGAATGTTAGAAACCAAGTTGAGTAATTTAATGTGAGTTCTCTGGATGATACATTCAGTAACATACTGGTTTTGTTTAAGTGTAAAATCTGCATGCCACCTGCATAGGAAAGTCAAACACTGCTTGATTTCCAACAACTTCTGCTTGTCTTTTTTTCCTTATTTTCCCAGGAAACTTAACTAGTGCTACGGGTATTTTTATAAATCAGAATTTATAATAATTAAAAAGGCATCAGCTCTTAGCAATTCTGCCTCCTGGTCAGGAGTAAGAATGTAACGGAAACCCAACACTTGTCCTGTTGAAATGCCCCATCAGGATTTAACTATACTGAGCAAGGCTGCACAGGAATGTGTAGTCTGTTTTTTGTTTTGTTTTGAGCTGAGGTAGTCTAAAGAATTTTGCAAAAGGACATTTTATCTGAGTCCAATCAGGCGTCCAACAGGATGTTCAGAGATGATGTTGAAGACTAACCACCTATTGCTTGGATTAATATCCCTAAATTATTATAGAAACACTCACTTTTGGGAGGTACCATTTAGGCTGATAAAAGTCAATGCATTTGGACTGAAGCATAATTATTTAACAGGAGCAGAAAACTTCTGCTTTTCATACTGCCTGTAGCATCAGAAAAAGAACCATGATGCTGATAAGAATTTCATGCTTTGGTTTCAACAGTTGGTGTTTACGCACACATCAATGCTCGCACAAACCAAGTGAGTTTTAGGACAGCTACCGGGCTGAAAGGAAATGATATATAAAGCAGCTATAAAAGGTTGGGTTGTTTTGGGTAGTTAATGAGCCCATCCTACGTTTATTAGTTTGTGAACAATGAATGCCAGGTTATGTATAGCAGTATGTTAATAATGAAAAGTAATTTCATTTTCTTATACTATGCATAATACTGGATTCTTGGCTTGGTGTTTCTGCAAACTCTCAAACATGCTCAATGGGGAAATTTGCCTTGGAAGCCACCCAAGTTAGAGTCTGAACAGGAGCAATGATTCAAAACCCATGAAGAATGTTTAATCTGCATGATTGAAGCAAGGTGTTGGCTAGAAACTGTAGGACTAAACTTCCCAATCTAAGTTTAAGGGATCAGGATACGCTCCAAAGCTTTGAAAATCAGTTCCTTTTGACCCAAATAACCTTGGGATCCGTCCTTGGGAGACCTTTGGGTGTGTTGGACTGTCAGTGGTCTTTCTTGGCACACTTCAAAACCAAAAAAAATTCAATCGCAGTGGCAAGTTTATTGAAGAACGTAATTGTTCAGAAAAAGTCAGAGAATTGAATAAGGGACTTCTGGACACTTCTTTTTAAAATAATATTCAGAAGGTAAAAAGTTCAATGAATATCGGGAAAAATCTGCTTAGGTTCACTGAAAACTTGCACAAAGAACGGGTGTCAAGCATGTTTCTGCAGCCTGTGTGAGAGGGAGAGAGAGTACATGCTTTGTATCAGCTGCTGTTGCAGTGACATAGCTGTTTCCCTGGTTTGTAAAGTTGTTAAGTAGGCCTTGGGGGTATACCAAGTGTGATTTGTTTTGGGCTGATGGTGATTATTGCGTCTGGTATGGGTCAGACCATTCATTAATATTGACGATTCTACTCCTGTGAGTATCATTATAACTTCAGGAATAGTTCCATAGAATCACAGAACAGTTTGGGTTGGAAGGGACCTTAAAAATCATCCAGTTCCACCCCCCTGCCATGGGCAGGGACACCTTCCACTAGACTAGGTTGCTCAAAGCCCTGTCTGACCTGGCTTTGCTTCTTTACTTACTCTATTTATATATTGCCCAGTTATTTTTTCATAAGTTGTATTTTTTATTCAGTTACATTAATGCAGTTTCTTTTTTGTACCTGTTTTTAATAAACCACTCCAAATATAAACTCAGTCCCCAAATACTGCTTTTCAAAGATTATTAATGCAAGAGAGGAAGATGATCATGGAGATCTTTGGCCAAATTAAGTACAGAATGTAGAGGGGAAAAAAGTCATATTATATATTGTTTTCTTTTACCTGTTGAACTTTGCTCAAGTTACTTTGTTATGACTTAACTAAAGGTGAGTTAAATAAGAGAAAGGCTTAAAGGTGTGAGTTTGCATTTCTTTGTCTCTGAGCGTGCAAGGAGCACTGGCTTCCTGCCCCAGCAATGGAGCAGAGCCCACCAAGACAGATTTCGTTGTTTGCTGGGCTTTGCTCAAGCCTTGCCAGTGAGAGCTCGTTTTCTGCTCAAGCATCCCAGAGGAGCAGCTCTGGGCCGGGTTACGGCTGTGGAGCAGGAGCACCAGTGTTTGCCTACATCGACATCCAAGGAGCCTGGGCAGTAGCATCACAGCCTTGGCCAGGGCAGCTCCTGTGTGACCCTGCAGGGAAGGATGAAGACACAGTACAGTTCACGATGAGTGCTCTATTACCTGTTTGCCTCCCTGGTTGCTGCCTCTGGCAGGCTTAACCTGGAGAAACCTTCAGAAACCTGAATGCATGTTAAATAATCCAGTCTCAATCAATTTTAATTACATTGCCTTGTGTGTTTAGAGTTTTGTGTTTAAAATCCTATTTATTTGGGATTTGGAGCTATCTGCATTAAGTTGTATAGAAACGAGAAACAACGTAGGCTGTGCGTTGTGTTAGCTTGTTTTACAATATTTTTGTGGCTTAAAACTGTCATAAACCTTTAAACATAAGAATTCAATAATAAATTTGCTTTGATTCTTAGTTTATTAATATAGATATATATGTCAAAGGGAGTAACACAGATGAAAATATATTTTAAAATATAGTAGGTACTGGGATTTCAGTTCTGTATTTGTGCCAGTGGACACTGCAATTCAGAGCAAGGCTCATCTTGAAAATTGTAAGATCTTTCAGATTAGCAGCTCATTACATTTCAATGTAATCATGATAAATCTTTGTTTTCAGTCTGTTTATTCCTTTCTCTTCCTTTTTGTTCCTTTTTAACATTCACCATTTCTCACGTCCTAGTGGTTCACAGTTTCTAGAAAGAAGGTGCTCAGTTTGAGTTCTTTGAGTGAAGACTTTTTCCTGTTATGGGTTGTGCTCGTGGTTGTGCTCAAAACCAAAACAATATGTGTGGAAAGTGTGGTTCGTCAGTGCTGTGAACTCAGGTTACCCAAATGGTATCTTGGATCCACGTGTTTCAAAATGAAAGATTGTTTAGCAGGATTTTTTCATGTCCTGCTGATATCCAAGAAATAGTAAAGGTTTTGTGGTCAAAGAGGAAAGGAGGTGGTGGGTGCCACCAACAGTGGTGCCAACAATGTTTTAGGGGCTGACAAGTGGAGGGTTGACTCCTGCACCTATCTAGTGGGCTTTGTGAAAGATGTAAAGTGGCATATGGTGTTGCAAAATGGGAACAGAAGAGCCAGTTAACAGAAACATCTTAAATTTGGTGAAGTCAGTAAAGCAAGGTAGATTGTGATTTTTAACCAAATACCAATAGTGCTTCTTTTAGGGATAAGATAGAGACATTTCTTAGGGGAAAAAGTCGTAGTTTGTGTTCCAAGAAAACTCTATGGTTGTTGTTTAAATTTGTTTTGATCTGATTGTTTGATTTATAGGAAACACTTTCAGCACATTAGCAGGGTTAGTCTTTGACTGGACAATAGTAAAAGACACAGAGGCTGATGACTTTTCAGATTCCCACAATGTATTACGGTAAGTTCATTTAATTTGTTATCAAAAGCCTCATGTCCGTTAAGTTTGACGTGTATAAATGTTTCTCCACATCTAGGCATTTACTGAACTGATGCCTAAAATAATGCCTATGGGTCAGTTGTGTCAGGGTGGTGTTGTTTTTTTTTTTTTTTTTTTTACATGCCTACTTAACAGCCTGGGCACTCTCATACCTGTTTAATTTAACAACTGATAGGGTAATGAGCAGCCCAGGTAACTGTAATGCAACAACTAGAAATAAATAGATGCAATTGTTGATCTTCCTGAAACATCTTGTGCAAAGGAAACATTCATCAGTAAGACTGTTTTCTCAGGGTTTCACCAGAGACATTTATTTTTAATTTATTTTTTTTAATGGAAAAAAGTCCTCTTCCATTTCAGAAAGGAGCTCTCCAAACTTGAAGTTTCAGGTTTTAGTCAACAGTTCTGGTGTTGAAATAGCTTTCAAAGTAGCTAACCTTTAAATTGGAATGACCAAGTGGCTGCTTATAAGCCAGATGCAGCTCATGAGGCCAGATGAAATACTTTCAATGAAAGGTGTTCAATGAAGGTATTGAATATATTGTCTTTCAGACAAAGCAACGAATGGAAAGCACTTGCTTCATAAATAAACCATGTGGTTGGTTCATCATCTGTACTGACTCAAAGAATAAGTTAACTGGAATTTAGAAGTGCTGTATTTTGTGGAAACTTCTATCCAAAGATCTTGAAAGTGCTTTTCAACTCACAAATGAGATAAGGGTTTTTTCAGTGTTTCTGTATAGTAAGGAAATACTCCCTCCATTTAATGGAGGTGGAGGTCCTGCCCAAAAGTCAGAAGGCTCACCTGTGGCAGGGATAGGAATAGAATCCAGACTGTATGATTATTCTTTTTTCTCCCTCCTGTATTTGTCAACAGACCATCGCTGGCCTCTGGTTTGGTGTTGGTTTGTTGTATTAAGCATGTGCACTATGTAGTTTTACAGTGATGACTTCATTGTTCTGTTCTTCAGTGGCTTCAAACAGAAATTTGAGTTTCTGTCCTTATCAGACTAACCAGAATAGAAGGCTACCTAGCAGTACCTTGTCTGGGATATTTTTCAAGTTAGACTCCAAGAGTTTTATCTTTGCACTGGCACCGGCTGGTGTAAGCACACCAGGATCCTGTCACCTAGCAGTATTATGCTAGTATTCATCATATTATCTGCCATGATGAATCTTGACTTTGTTCACTGTGAATGTTGGTAGAAAAAATGCCTCCCTGATAAACATGAATTTGACCAGACTGCAACCATATGAAACATAGGTTTTTCTCACAAAACAGTTTACAGACACTTCTTGATTACAGCTTTAGTCAAAACTTCTCTAACATACAGTAAGCTCATAAGGTGAAATAGATTGAAACTCATGCACCAGAGGCTTCAATTACTTCAGAAAACTGGTTCCAGCAAAATGTAGGTAGGTTGCAGGACATAGACTAGTGTAGGAAAATAGATCTTCCATTAAAGAACCTGGCTTTATTCCTATCATGATTCTATGACTGGTTTGCAGGGAAACCAGCTCTCTTAGAGAGCAGAATGGTTAACAGTTAACTTCTGTCCTTACACATGTATTCCAAAACCACTGGAAATGGGGTAGGGGTGGCAAACAAGACCCTTTGGTACTGGGTAAATGGAAACTCCAGTTCTGCAGCCTTAGAGGAACAAACACACAGCATGACCTGAGGAAAGCCTGTTATGCCCATGACACACTTGAAGCCGCAGGTATGAGCAAATGGACCCTATCTGCAGTGAGAGCCAGACGGTGTGCTAGCTGTTCAGTTGGACTTAAGGTCTGACACCTAGTTCACACGGAGTGTTTTGTTTCAATATAAGTATTTGCTAGAGATATGCTTTTAACCAACATAATATTGATATATGCTCTACTGTTAGTAGAGCTATGATAATGAAAAAATGTTCTAATGGTGTTACAGCTTTGCAAAATAAATGATAAACTGTCCCGTCGTTTACCCGTTCATGGCAAATTCCTTTCCTCTCTGTTATCACATCTCATTGAAATTTCTAACAGTTACTATGAGTATTCTGCTTATAGATTTTTTTTCATAGTCATTTATTAAATGCATCCTAGCTTCTTCATATAGGTCAAAGTTATGTTCTGGTTTGTTAAGCTGTTACTTTTATAAACATAAGCTTTGAGTCTTTTGTGTCAGTTGTTCCACAATAATCTAGAGAAATTTTGCTGTGTACACCTACTGTGAAAACTGGAGGGATCATTGTAGACAACATGTGCAGTCCTCTGATATCTCTTGAAAGCCCACGAACAAACTTCAAACAAACTTTTATCAGTCACAGAAATTAGCTGCAGATATCTTGAAGAATGAGTAAAATTTGGCTGTCTGGTCCCAGGCAGACATCTTAAATTTGCTTAAAAATGGAAATAGCTGGGAATAGATGCTGGTGGTGTTTCTCTGTGGGTTTACACAGATTGGTTGACAATTTTCTATTCACTTTTTTGGTTCACCTTTCAGTATACTTAAGTTCTTGGAATCCACTTATATTCCACCTTCCTATATATTGGAGATGGAAAAGGTTTCCAAGCAAGGAGATACCATTTTGGTGTCTGGAATGAAAACAGGGAGCTCTAAATTAAGAGCAAGAATACAGGAAAGCATCTATAAGGTAAGAAACTTGCATTAATCTTTTTTTTTTTTTTTTTTTTAAATTATTTAGTCTTATAGTCCAATGTTACAGCAGTGCTGTAAGTTTGCCCTGCCATATTGTTCCTGTTGTGGGTATTGGTGCTGGATCTCTGTCTTACTGGATTGACTCTGTCCCATATCATGAGAGATGGCAGTGCTGCTGCTGCTCTTGATCACCCTGAAAGGGTTGGAGTTTGATGCAGTTACCTAACCCAGGACGGCACATGGGCCAGAGATCATTTCTAAACCGACCTTCCCAACAAAGGGCCCTGAGGAAGAGGAATACACTTGAAATACTTCTGTACAATTTTATTATTCCTGATAGTTGTTCATATTATATATATATAACTAGAATCAGGCTGGATAGGCCATTGGCCCTTTAGTACTTTTTAACAATAACCAACTAGAATGCTTTAGGTCTTTTTTTCAATAAATAAATAGCTAGAGCAAGGATTGCTATATCCATGGATATACCTTTATTTCTTGTCATGCTTGAAATGAGTGTCATAAGAATACTTCATTAGTATCTAATTCTACCTCATTAGATTCTGGTCTCCAAGGAAGGGCTTTGGGATCAGAATATCAATGCTGCAAGGGTGTTAAACTGCAGTATTGGCAGTCTTCCCAGCTGTTATGTAGATCCATGCTGTTTCTTTCTTCATAACTTGTGGTGACTGTTTTTCATTTAATTCTGGTACAAGAGTTGGGTTTTTTCCTCTTAATAGAATTTACAGACACCTGAGAGAGTTTTTGTGGGTTATCACTTACAGGAATACTTGGCATTGTGCTAGTATTGACTTAATACTGCACCTTAAAAAAAAATCCTTTTATAAAATGATGGGTTTTTTTGAAGTTCGTCTCGTGTCTGCAGTCTGTTTTTGCAGATTTGTGTTACTACGTAATATTTTTGCTCAAAGCAGAATTGCCTTGGACTATCCAAGCCATACCTGTAAGAATTGTTCTATGAAAGTATCATCTGAATGTAATACTAGTGACATGGCACAAATAAGAGTGCATGTTAAGAATTGTATTTTTGTTACAGTTCTACCTTATTGTGCTGAATATAGTTACTCTACACGATAACCAGTCTGACTTTTTTCTTGAATGCTTGTAGCTTGATTAGTTTTCAGTTTTAATATTTATTTTTCTGAATTAGTTTTGAGCTGATGCTGTAAGTGAAATTGAAAGAATATTGTTCCATTAGCAATTTTTTTATGGCCTTCTTGTTAGTAGTTCTTTTAAATCTTTCACTGCTGCCAGACTGCACATTTTCAGTGAACATCCCTCAAATAACTGTAATAGAATTTATACAATTATTTGTTGTATTCCTAATTTAATAGACCAATGAGTTCAATAGAGATTCCTCAGTGAAGTTATAGTGGATATGGTCTATGGGGGTACTGTGTTTTACAGTAGGGAAATCAAATTTCTACAAGTCTAAAGAGTCACTGTGCATCTGTCTCAAGTTTTTCTGCGTTCTCCAGAATACTGAACCACAACGATGTCCGCACAGACTTGATTTTTTTTTAATTCAGCCTTGCACAGTATGCAGAGATCTCTGTACAGTTCGTTGTCCCTTGCATTTCCCTGTTGTGACAAAATTTGAGATGATAATAAAGAGCCAATTACAGCAAGTAATATTTTTCACTTATTTTTCACTTTCAGATTATAAGTTATTGCTGCCTGGTCTGTTTCAAACAAATGACCTGCTTTAAATGTAGTTGCTTTTTCTTTTCTTTTTTTTTTTTTTTTTTCCCTCAATCAACAGCATGTACATCCTGCAGAAGTCAGATTACTTATTTTGGAAAACATCCTTTTAAATCCGGCATATGACATTTATCTTCTGGTAGGAACATCAATTCAGTACAGAGTTCAGAAAATAAGGCAAGGGAAGATTACAGGTTTGTCCTGTTCTTTTTTTTTTAAGTGCTTTGTGTGAATTTTTAATTGTGGAGAAATTTTTAATTGTGTTTCAAGCTACTTTGTTAAAATACTGTTTTCCTAAACTGCATGATGATACAGCTGTTTAGTTTTTCCTGTCAAAAATATGGTGTCTATAAAGGATATACTCTTGAAGATTTGTCAAGGGTGAAGGTAAGGGTAACTTAGTATAAGAGCTAGGACTGTCATTTTAGATGTGCTTATTTATTTCACATTGACTACGAAACTGTGTCTGACTTTTCTTAGTTAAATCAAATTTAGATTTGTAACTTTTCTAGCAGAAAATGTTTTCTTGACAAATGAATTTCGTCCACTTCTACAAGTGTGGGTTAGTTGGCTTTGTGTCCATTTGAAAGTGCGGGAGTTTGTACTTGCATCTGTTCTTTACAAGAAGGCTGTGCTGGCAATGACTTGGCTTTTTTTTTTTTCTTTTTGCTTTTTTTTTTTGTCCTTTAGAAACTAGATAAGGAATCTTTTACTAGGCTAGTAAACTAGGATCACTAAGTCAGCTAGTTGGGCAGAATAGAGGAGCAGAAATTGTCAGTAGCTTGTTGAAAGTAATTTGACCACTTTGAAGCTGGCATGAATTGGATGATAGGTCTATAAACAGTGGGTTGATATTAGTTGGACATTGCAACTTCAAAGAAATTGAAGTTAGGAGAGAAGCTCATTTTGCATGTCCACGTTGAGATAATAACAGAAATGCTGACAAGACAATAAAAATACTGATTTAATATGCTCACTAGGCATCAATAAAAATTAATCAGCAATAATTAGCAACATCTACACACTTGCTTTTGTCATTTCCTGTATTGTCTTGTTTTATGTACAGAATTAATGATGCCATCTGATCAGTATGAGCTGCAGCTACAGAACAACGTGCTTGGTCCTGAGGGAGATCAGTCTCAGCCGGTTGCCAAGCTGGACAAGGCAACATTGATTGTAACTGCATTGCAGCAGGGACAGATTAACCTCGTGCTTGGGCACAAGAGTATCCTTCCGAGGTGATGCTTTTCAATCCAGATCTTCGTAGCAGGAGACGAACTTTCCACCCTTGGCAGCAGAGAAAGATAAAATTATCCACATTTGTGCCAGTAGTCTTGAAAATCAGGAGCACCTAGTGGAGCCACAGAAAGCAGCACTGCTGTGAATTCAGACTCCACAGAGCTGCCTGATGCCTTGAAATGTTCTAAGAAATTGGATTGGCAGAAGATCAATTAAATCATGTCTGTTCCTCTCGGTCAATGTGGAAATGTGATGGGGCTTTATTTAATCTTTATATTTAAAGCATTCTATTCTCTAGTGGAATCTCTCTAAAATGCTCACTGTCTTTCAGGGTGGTGGGGCTAACATTTGTTTTCAGCGTACAATTAGCTTTAAATCTCCAAAGAGGCACAAGGAGCCCCAGGAACAAGCTGATCTTTACTTGACTTTTGTTAAAACTTCTCTGTTCCTTTACTGAGACTTCAGGTATTCGCATGCAAGGGGTTTCCAGACTACTAAACAGCACAATCTATGTTGTAAATCCTGGGTACTTAGGTTGGTACTGGCTACAGTTTTCGTGGTTGCTTAATATAATTTCTTGCCTTATTTTTGTTTTGGTGGTTTTGTGTGTGTATATACACACTTCCATTTCTCGTATTACTTTTCAGAGAAAAGTAATTTTATTCATAAAAATAGCTCAACGTGAAATAGATTTAGTGGTAAATGTTTTATTTAATCTCTGTATTCAGCAGTTTAAAACAATGAATGTGCATCTTCAGAGTGTGAGCACTAGAAGCAAAATGCTTATATCCATTGCGTGAAGAGGCTGTTGGTTTGTGCTGTTCAATATTTCCTGTTTTGTAGGATTTACGGTTCGTCCAGGTCAGAGATGGGTCCTAGAAACAGGCAGACTTTATGAAATTACAATTGAAGTGTATGATAAATCAAGGAATAAGGTGTATTTATCTGACGTAAGTTGAAATGTTGATGTAATTCTGAGTGTCTGTCTCCTAAATCCTGGCTTTCTTTGAAATTAGTTTAGCAGTTTCTTATTTACGTTGAGTTAGGACATTTCAAAGCATGTTGTTTCTTGCCTTTTCCATTTTTCTCTCTGTTTTGTTGTTTGTTTGTTTTAAATAAAGCACTGTGGTGATTCATGTGCCCGTTGGGATCTCAGTGCTGTAGAAAAAACTGGGAGAGTTAGATAATGCACTTCAAGCACGTAGCATAAGCATGGCACTGGAAATTGCAAACTGTTGTAACTGCTGGAGAGCAGTACTAGTACGGTACTTCAGCTCCTCAGTCCTCCCAAATACAATATTGTCAGGCCTAGAGGCAATCTTTCCTATTAAAGAATGAGCTGTAAGGTAGGCTTATAACTTTTGAGGAGCTGCCTGTTCCCTTTCAGTTGATTTGGGATAAGCTTGGACGATTAGCTAGCATTAAAGCACTTCATTGTTTGGTAGTGAACTAAGATGAATTCTAGGTACCAGGTACCAAATATATATTGCTCTTAAAAAAAAGAAAAAAAAAAGAAAAAAAAAAAAATTTAAATAGTTCACTTGCAAGGGAGAAGTTGTATTAAATTATTGCTTTTTAGAACATAAAATTTATGTGAATGGTATTTTATTTGCACTTATTTACTTCCTGAGATACAGATCTGCGTTTCAGCTAGATCTCAGAAATGTGCTATTGGGACAGTATGTTTGTTTGCATGTTCTTCCCCTTTTGTGTTTAAGAATGACGAAGTTAAGAAATTATTGTGAAATATGCATTATTTAGTGGTATAAATATTGGTAATTTTCATGTTAAATTACATGTCACTGATGATTTTAAAAAGTAAATATTTGCTGTGGAGTTAATGCTGTATCTAAAATTGAAAGACTGAAACTTTAATAGAGAAAAATTCTTCCGTTTCAGATAAGTTTCTTTGAACTATGTTATTAAACAATTGGTTTCTCATTGATTTGTTGCTAATATGTTTGTGGCTGGCTGTACAGTATTAATGTCAGTTATCATGGCAATATCTATTTAATGTTCTGGTTTTAGAATATCAGAATCAATACAAAGCTGTCCAGAGAATATTTTGAGGTGCTGAAGTCATCTCTGAATGGATCATATCATTATGTGAAAGCAATAAAGAAGGGTCAGACCATTATTTATGCTGCGCTGACATCAGTAGTAGATCAGGTATGTTGTTATGATAACCCTTCTGCTTTACTGGTAGGCCTAAAGGTGATTTACTTGTGCAGTAGTGACTTAATAGTGACATAGTAAAAAGAAACCTGAGAATTACATGGGTCTAAGCTGTCTTTGTTTAAACAGATTAAGAACCAAATTCTAAAATCCTTAGTTCAGGAAAACTGTCAATTAAGTCAACAGAGGATTTGCTTAAATAAAGACTGTGGAATTTTGTTACCAAGTGTGTCGCAAGCACCTATTACACTGTTGGTGCACAGCACATTATTTTCTTCATGGCAGATACTTCACGTGGGCACATATTGTTTCCTTGTGCTGGTGCAAAGGTCCTCTCACATTCTCTGAGTGAATTTTACAATTGATTGTGGTAGGATCATCAATGTCATACCCTGGCCTTGTTCTGCATTCAGTTACATTTGGAAAGTTTTCTGTCATTTGGTAAGTGATGTTAAATGCTGGAATGAAAATCTGCCAAATGTATCAGCCTGCAAATTTCTTCAAATTAATATTCATTAACTTTCTGCTAGCTGAGCAGGCTGCTGAATATATGGCGAACTAGGGCACGTGGTGTGAAAGTGATTTGCTTTTGCTTGAAGCTTGGAAAAATTCAACACACCAACCCATTTGCTGTGAAATCATCTTAGTGATTCCTTGAGTTTAGTAGATCCTTGAGTATGATAAGCCATGCTCATTTTCTGTGCCAGAGAGGTGAGAGCTGTTAAAGTTTTCCTTCAGAACTCCAGTAAGAGAGAGTACGTTGTGCCAGAGGGTTATGGTTCTACAATTACAGCAAAGTTGTAAAGGCCAGTATTTTGGAATAGGTTGAGGAAAGGGTGTTTTAGGCGGAGTTTCTTCTGCGCCTGCTGCAGAGTGGAATGAACAAAGAGTAAATGCAGGTGCGGAGTTACCAAATTAGTTCTCCAGACAGGGTCTCAGAAACTAGGAGTAGTGAAGGAGTGTATTTCTTATTGCTGTTTGCCTTTTAAATTAATGTGGGCACCTGTATCTGCATAGTGATACTACTCATTTAATACAACACCACACTTTGCTGCAATGAGCTGACTATTTGCTCACAAGTAACACTGTTCATAAGCGACCCTAAATAGTTGCTTCCTTTCTCTCTGGGATGTTTTCAACAACTTGTTTGTATATAAGGACTAAGCATTCATTCTAGGAAGTGCTCTGGTGCCATTTAATATACTGTGCTGTTGCTTTCTGTAGGACGGAGGTGTTCATACATTACCAGTTCCAGTGCGAAACCAGCAAGATGTTGAAATATATGTTCCCATAGTTCTTTCACCCAGCATTTTGGCGTTTCCTTGGCAGCCAAAAGCAGGAGTCTACCAGTACACCATACAGGTATGCGAAAGAAGTATCTAAATGCAGGAAGTTTGCTCAGGAAGGTGCAGTGAGGCCTGTAACCACTTACATAGAGTTGACTTTGGATACTTCAGGCACAGTGATATCCAGAGCTTTATTTGGAGGAATTTCGTTGGATGTTAGTTGCAGGAATTAATGTGCAGCTTTAAAAAAGCACACAAGAAACCAACAAACAAAAACCCCAGTGACTTACTTATCATTCATTCACTTCCTCTCTCCCTCATGCATGCAGCCCACACATATGCACAGAGTGGTTTGGAATTACAGAAAATATCCTAGATACAAAACTTCATAGTAATAATTAGAGGTTACCATGTACTGTAAAGGGATGGAAGTGTGGGCGTATGAATCGGGGCATGCAGTGGCTGCAGAAAGGGCATGACAAGATCAATGACCTGTGCCCTGTCAGCCTTTGACATCAGTATCCTTCACTCTCCACACATCTCACACTCCTAATAAGAAGTTATAGGGAGGCAGAGGCCGCAGTTTCAGTTACAGTATGCCCTTCTAAAGGGACTTTTTTCTTAGTTTCTTGCATGTGTCTTTTCTCTTATCCTCCCAGTCCTTCCACACACTTCATGAAGCAAATGGCTTGGCTTCCAGTATCCAGAGTATAGTCTAACTGGAGAAAAGAACGTCGTGCTTCCCCGGCATGGACTCTTATCTCAGTACGATGAGACCCAGATCCTGCACTGAAGTGTTTCATGCGCGGTTCCTACCTCTCCCTTTTAGCATGAAGTAGTGCTGAGGTTTGGGTCTGCCTTCAAGTAAACAGTACACAAAAAGAGGCAGTAAATGAATCAGTCTCATAGGGGTAAAATTGCATTCTCTAGTGTAAACCTGAAGTTAATGCCATTGAATTTAGTGCTGGCATCTGTATTTTCAGTTTCTGTGGGATTGGTTTGATTTGGTTCGTGCTATACCCAACCACACCAGCAGAGTGTGGTAAAAATTCTTAGTACAAATACGCATTTTCAGTACTTCATCATACCTTCTGCTAGAGCTTTCCCAGTTAAGGGAAACTAAATGGGTTTTTCTGTTTCCCACCTATTCTTGTCTCACCTTATCTTGCATATACCATCAAATATCTCACTAGAGAACATTCCTTCGTGTTACTCCAATAGTTGCATCAGTATTCTTACTTTACCAGGTTTTATTTTTTTTGTTGAAAACATAAAACCTTTTTTCTCCAACATTTAAATTAGTTTTCATTTGCTGAAACCGAGAACATTTTCCCAGTCTGCACATTCAACAATACTAGACTGTTGTTCCTGCCTGTAGATTAGTGTTTACCTCCTACTCAATAGTTTTTGAGTCAGGCTATTTTAAATTGACTTTTTCTGGATTTTTGGATCTATTCTGTTTATAGCTAAAGAAACTCCTTGCAGATGATATCAGAATGACTTTTAGGTTTTACTTTGTCAGCTGTCTGTTTTTTTGTTGGTTGCTTTGTTCATATTTGTGCTAATAAGATGGCTTCTGCTGCAAGTAAAAAAGGAAAGGAAAAAAAAAAAAGGATGTTTCCTTCCATCCATGCATTAGAGAATTGAAGTGCCATCTTTGTGAAGTTAAGTGCATAGAGGTGTTTTTTTTTTTTTTCTAGTGAGGGCATCACTGTCACTGGTAACAGTCTGTGGAGTGGAGTTCAGCTAACAGGCTGTGGATAATGATTAGACTGAAATAGAAGCTGGTTTACGCTTTCTCTCCTCAAACTGACTGCTAGAGAGAAAAATGCAGTAATGCATCTGGTTTGTATGGCAACAAGAAGTGACTCCACAGAATTATTAAGAATTGGGTGTTTCTATTTTATGTTTTTTGCTCATTTCCCTGTTTTAATTGAAAATATCCTTACAAAACATCCTGAACTCTTACATTCTGTAGAGTATTTCTCGTCACATCCTGTGCATCTCTTCCTATAATCAGGTTGTGCACATGCTCATGGGAAGGAAAAAGGGAAATGACTGTCCTTTTGACACACACACGCCGCACCCCCCTGGTGAAAGTTATTAGCTAAGCTCCTGCATAATTTAGATTTGTTTATTTTCCCCACTGTCCTTCTAGACAAGATTTATTGTCTTGCTGATTTTTACTTTAATTATGAGATGGGTGAGAGCAAATGCTGAGGAAGTTAAAGAAACTGAAACAATACATGTGAACAAAAAAATTGCTTCGATGTTCACCCCTTTGGCTCTGATGGAATTTTGAAATCTATTTTGGAGTGTGAAAGTGTCTTTTTTTTTTTTAACTTGCTTTAAAAATGCATTATTCTCAGCATACCTTTCTGCACAGTATTTGTCTCAACAGCTGCTTCCTATAGCTCACAAAAATGATGTTTAAAACATATAAGTTTACAGCATTGTAATGATTATGTTTCTTCAGTAACTATTATTACACATCTAGGAGGACAATACTGGCAAAATGTTTTTTGGCCCTTCACTTTATAAAATATGAACCCACAGCAGATATTACCCTGTCCTGGCTGCCAAGTGCTCATACAATGGGTATAATAATTTGTCTGTTATTGAAGTGGACCATAATATCAAGTAACTGGTTCTTACCCTTCTGTAGGATAATTCAACTCACTTAAGCTCTTCTAATCGTGAAACAACCCTTTAAATGGTGGGAGCTCTAGAAGGGTGGAGTCTTGGTTTTTTTGTTGGTTTGGGTTTTTTTAATGGGAATCTGCACAATAAAAACTGAGCTTAGAAGTTTGGCAGTTACTGACTCTTCCCTGAAAGGCCGTTGTGCAAGTGTAGCCTGTACGTTTTGCAGACCCCTGCAGTGTTTGTGGCAAGAGTGGGCTGTTTCTGTGTGTGCCTGTTGCTCATTCCGTGACTGATCAGTTGCTGGAGCAGCACATTTGTTGGATGGCTGCAGGTCGACATGCTGATTTTCATCATAAAAATAAAGGATTAATGCCAAGAAGAGAATGACTTTTTTTTCTTTTTATCCCTTCTTGCCTCATTCCATCTCTACCTCCCACCTTCTTTTCTCGTCCCTTTAGATCCCTTAACAATTCCCATTTGAAAGAAGCTGGTTAGGTGCAGAGTGTCAGGTTAGCAGCTCTGAGACCCCAAATCAACACTTTGTCTGTCAGCAACAGAGAAACAGTGGGAGTTTTCAGAAGTACGATAATCCCATGTGCCAGGCCTCTGGTGTGCCGATCTGTGAAATGCTCTACTGACTCTGAGCATTGACAGTCACTGGGAGTTGTGAGCATCAGACTTCTGCAGCTGGGAGAGAGATACTTGAGTTAGCAGCACTGGTGAGGATATGTGCATGAAGAAAGCTGAAATTAAAATGAACGAAGGGTAGTAATCTTCTCATCTCTTACTTCACCTTGCTTATTTGAAAGTTCTGAGGTGTTTATTTGTATTTCCTCAATAATAGCATTGTCGGTTCTCAATGTATTCCTGGTTTTCATGTAAGATATTCAAAGGCTTGACAGCTGAGAAACATGAGAACCATATACTTTATAAAATGTTTGAAATATTTTCTCTCTGTTTTCTAGGCTCGTGGTGGAAGTGGAAATTTCAGCTGGTCCTACTCTAACCAGGCAGTTGCTACTGTGACAGTCAAAGGAGTAATGACAACTGGAAGTGATATTGGTGTCAGTGTTATTCAGGCAATTGACGTTCAGAATCCATTGCATTATGGAGAAATGAAGGTAAAACTTATTTTCCCTGGTCACTCTTGAATATGCCTTTTGAAACGGTGAAGCAGCTGAGAATGTCACAGGTATTCCGCTTTCCAAAATGTTTCCAAGAGATTTCTCCGCCCTGTGGCAGGTTAAGTGATAAATTTCAGAGTGTGTGCTTCTGGGGATTCAAGCTCTCTCCACTGCATTAACTTTACTCCATTTTGCCCCTTCCTGATTTCCTTGGCAAGTCTTTTTCCCTGTTGAGTGTTAAGAAGGAAATAGTGATTTACTACTGGCCCAGGCCATCTAAGCAGACAAGCCAAAAGCTACAAATGAGTTCTGCAGGGTAAGAGGTGGGTGTTATCCCTCAATATAAAAGGATGACAGATACTATCAAAATGCACAAGGAAATTCCTGCCTGGAGAAGTGGCTGAAGTGAATGCAGTGCCACATAATGAATCTAGATACCAAAGCTGGCCAAGAAAAATTAATCTCTTAGAAAAATTAGGAGAAAATGGGAATGAAAAACATGCGTCCCAAGAGGGATTTTGCGGTCTCTGTGCAAATCATACTCTGTTCTTAGCATTTGGTTAGAATGATCACTGTGTGGTATGGAGTGAAAAAAATACAGGAACAATATATGTAATGGCCCCATAGTAAAGATTGTGCAAGGATAGGTGAAGAAACTGCTTTGGTTAACACTGGAGATCTACAATCTTAAGTATTTTTCTCTAGAATGTCATTAATTTGGAAATATCTCCTTGTGTCCTCTGGACACAAATAATTTTCCATAATGAAACTGTGTCAGTGCTTACTCTTGTCTGTCAAGCTATTAAGAACTGCCAAACCTGTAGCCTGGCAGACTAGAAAGTACTACTGTGGTGTATAATCACTACTGTGAAGTAGTGCTGCTCTGCTACCTTCACGAATTCAGGCATTTTAATCTATGCTTTAACTCTGTGCCTTTTGCAAAGAGCTAAGCATTGGAATGGAAACCTGACAGAGAAGAGGAAACTTGCTCCTGACCTCAGAACGGCTAAGAGATGGTGTACTGAGCATGTACTGATCTGGGATCCAGAGGCTGGTTTGTCTTAACTGCACCGTCATAAATGAAATAGGTTTGTTTATGCCAAGTGGATGCTATCAAGGCTGCCAAACAACCTCCATCTGACTAAGGCTTCATGAAGGTGATGGTCTCTGCTTCTGAGAGAGCACAGAAGTTGATTTAGGAAGCACGTCTTGCAAGCCCTAAGGCAGTGCACCTTCCTTCCAGGATATATGCCTGTAATTTAGCAACTGATGGGGAACAAGCTGATTGCATCAAATATACATACATTAGCTGTACAAAATAGCTCATAATTTTTAAGTACTCCCATGTGCAGCACTATTGCAATTGCTGTACTGTGCTTCTGTTGCACCAAAGTCACTTTTGACAAAAGTGTTAAAAAATGTGTTTGGTCAAGACTGCCAGGACTGTCCCATAATGAAGGGAGAGCTATGTAAGCAGATTTTTCCCCTCTCTCTGTTTTCCTTTTCGTTTGTTGTGGGGTTTTTTGTTTGGTTGGTTTTGGTTTTGGTTTGTTTTGGTTTTTTTTCAGTATGGGCATTTTGGGAAAGATATTTCTAACCAATTTTTACTTGGAACAGCTCCATCTACTAATGCTGGGTTTTTTGAGGGGCAAATCAGCTTGGGGTTTGTGCTCAGATTATTTATGTCCATTCTACAAAATGGGTTTAAGAGGTACTAAACTTCATGCTTAAAATAGCGACTTAAATGGCTTAAAATAATGACATAAAGTAAAATTTGTGCAGAATTTAGTTTACAGAGTTGCTCTGAAATTATTCTCTGGACAGCCCAGGATGCTGCTTTTCAGCAGTGCAACAGTTACCAGCAGAAGATACAGGAATGAAGATTTTTCTGTTAAAACTTCTTATCCTCAAACATAAGTCAAAGCCTGAAGACAAAAAAACCTCTTCTTTCCATGTGGGCTTTCAGAGCGGTGAATTGCACAATCTGAATAGGTTATTTTTGAATGCCTTTGTTCTTGTGTTAGGAATTGCATTCTTCGTAGAACTCTGAAGAGTTCTATTTACTGACCTCAGTGAGCAAGTTTTAGGAATAGTTAACTACTTTCCACAAGGATTACGGTTTTAACTCTGTACCATATGGTTCAATATTCTATCCTGAAGCTGTTTGCAGATGGTTAGGAAGTTAAGATATTGTGAAAGAAAAGCTTTGATCATAACGATTGTTATGAAGTACGCAGTCAGTCTGTGGTGGATTCTTTAATGTTAATGGAAAAAGCAGCAATCAGAATAACAAATAAAACAGTTAAGGCTTGTTCGTCAACATACCAGCCATAATAGCATGGAAGATCTATTTCTGCCTATCTTATTTCTGAAAGTGATGCTTTTGATTTCAAAAGTATCTCTCACATAAAGATTACTTGTTGAAGCAGGAGGTTGTTAGATTAGGCAGTAGGTATTTGTTCACTTATATTTGATTTCTGACATATTACTGTGGGGAAATGTTGAGCCCTGGCCACCTTTAAAAATGTTTTGCCAACAGAGGTGAAAGAAAGAAAGGGGAAAAAAATTAGCTGTTGAGGAAATGTTTGGGTCATTGGTTCCCTTAACTTCCACGTACCTGCTGGTGTGAGTGATGGAGGCTGGGGAGCCTTGCTAACTATGGAAGGTCTAGCTCAAATATTTACGCTGTAAAAGTCAAGGTTGGGTGCTAAATCTGCCCCAGTTGGTGATAGTACCTCCTGGAGATACCATGTAACTTAGTCCACGCTTTAAAATCCACAAAGCAGAAGAGAGAATTACAGAAGTAGAAGTAAAAGGATCGCCGAGCTAATGTGAACTTGGACTGTTATGGGAGAAGAGCACTAAAATAGCAAGTTTTTCCTGGCCCTTTCTGCATCAGATAAACACAAAAGCAATGTTGAATCTGAGAATTGTTTTCAACCATCAGAGGGAAGTTGGCAGCTGGGATAAGTATATGAGAGGGCTAATTAAAGTAAGGACAGCATGCTGAAGTCTGTTTTTCTTTTTCTTTTTTTTTTCCTGGTACCTTTTTCTGGGGTTGTGTTCATACATCTCTGTCCTGTGTTTCTTCCCTCCTTTAGGTGTACGTAACTGAGCCTGGTGGGATGGAGTTCACACCGTGTCAAGTTGAAGCACGTGTTGGCCAAATATTGGAGCTGCCCCTGAGGATTAGTGGCCTAACAAATGTCGAAACAGGCAAGATGGTCTTACTGAACGACTGCTCACACTTTGATCTAGTTGTGGAAGTAGAAAACCGTGGTGTGTTCAGGCCACTTCAAGGTGATTGGACCCCCTCCCTGTTTTGAAAGTTAAATTAAGATGTTACAAATTCACACATCTCCTTTAAATCACTGTTTCAATTGCTGTGTACAGTATTTCCACAGAGGTGCTTCACTTCAGAGGTGGGGATCAGCGTAGTTTTATTTTGACAATGTATTTACTTTTTTTGTGCAGAACTTCCCTTCAATATTTTTGATGTTTGGGAGACACTGAAAGCATTTTGGCAATTGTTTTATTGAATAATGTGTAGGTCTCTGTGTGTCCTTCTAGCGATTTAGTATTTTTAACATGCTTCTGTAACAAAGCTGATGGGTTTTCCCACAAAAGGACTTCACATGTATTGTGTTTTGAGGTAGCATTGGAAGACTTACAGGAACACTACGATTAATAACTGTTTTGTCTGAATTGTCTGCCATTACTGTCAGGTCTATAAAGACAGTGTTCATTGTTTGCTCACAAGGAACTAAGACAATCAGCTGCTTAAATTTTGCCAGAGCTCTGTCATCGTTAAGCTCATTGCTTTAAGAAATGCCTCTTGTCAGGTTTATTAAGAGTATGGAGTGTGCGTGTTATTTTTAAAGATTGCCGTTAATGTTGTTGGGCTAAGAGGGTACTGAGCAACGTGCTTGTTCCTGTGTCTACTGAATTCAGTATGTTACTCAGATGTGCCATTAATTTTTTCCAAGCATCTCTTGTATGGAAGCTCTTTTCTGTGCTATTGAGCAGTAAAACCAGCCTGCATTGTACCATCTGTTTGCCTGAGAGGCAACTATTTTAAATGTCAGTATGTAGTATGCTGTTATACTGTTTGTTTCAAAAAAAAAGAAAAAATAGAACCCTCCCAAACCCCAGAATGTCCTTTTAAATAAGCAGAGGAGTTTCATGAAAATACCTTACCTTCAGCTAGAGAAACGATCTATGGCCTACACTTCAAGAACTTCTGTGCAGGAAGGCTTGCCAAAGCAGTGTGACTTACTTGTGCTTAATTACAAGCCAGTTTCATTTTAGAACAGCAAGATGAAAATACTCAGTAAGAGTTAGAAGTTCTGTTAGTTTGTACCAGAGTAAAGACTCATGTCCTGTTTAGGACCGTGTGAAAATAAAGAAGCTTGTGAGATGTGGATACTTCGGTAAGTGTTGGGTTTGGAGAACAGATCTCTACTTACTTCTGGTGGAAAGCTTTTGTCAAGAAAAGCCATGTTGAGCTTGTGTTAAAATGCCTGGGCATTTCTCTCCAGATATGTATTTATATTTTTTTAATTTATCTGACAGGACGGCTTAAGCCAACTGCTGATTTTTGTAGTGGAGTCAGAGTGAAAGCTGAAACTGAAGGATACACCACACTTGTTGTTAGTTACACTCATGGTCATGTCCACCTCAGTGCTAGCATCACCATTGCTGCTTATCTGCCATTAAAAGTAAGTCTCTTTTTGCTGTTCCTACATTAATCTGTCACTTAAAATCCCTTTAAATGACAAATAGCAAGTTGATGTTATGTAATGAGTCCGTTTAAAAAAAATGAGGTAGGTGGTTGATTCAGAGGAAGAATTTTATGGACCATTTTGAGGAATCATGGTTTAACCCTTTCTCTGTGGGGCATATATGTAGTAGAGTTTGCCTACATGGACATTGCAAGCCAGCTATAGAGGAGTGAGTAGCGTGATAGCGAGCTAACAGATTGTTGCAACTTCTGAAGTGGAAAATGAATTTGATATCCCAGCCCATTTTTCAGACTTTCGGCAAAAGAGAATTGCTGTCATCTGAAGAAACATGCAGGACAGTAACAAGAGTCAACTCTCATCAGAGTAAGGATCTATATCTTGTTTTGCACAGCACATCAGAATTAGTAAATTACTTTTTATCAGACTCTAGATGGGTGGAAAATTATGTAAGACTCACATTGTTTGTTTCTTGACCGTCTATTTTAACTGATTAACAATTGACTTAACAAGATAATAGAGGAGCAGTCACAGTTCTGTGTCCATAATGGCAAATGGAAGTCAACCTAGCGTATGATTTCTGCTTTCATAGTGTATAGACTGCTTTTTGCAGGAAAGCAAAGCTGGATTGCCTAAATGGCAGTGAAAACGTGTGCTTTTTCCCTAGAAATGGGAGAAACATGTTTCGCTGTTGGACAGTTCCCTAAAGAAAACAGGAAGAGGCGAGGGTCAATACATGGAAACGTGAAACAGTGTGCTTATATTACCCTCGTCTTCAGAGATCGAGCACTGGATCTGCAAAGCTGAATCTAATACCTTTGACGATAGCTCCCCGACCCGTCCCCCCCTCCAAATCTGGAACAGAAGTTTGTGCAAGTCCTACAGATTTGTGACTGTAATGATTGTTTTACATTTTAAATATGCTTTTCTGTCAAATGTCCTAAATAGCCGAGTATAATTATTTGAAGATGCTGAGACATCTTAAGCAGAGTGTGTAAACTTTCTGTTATTGGCAGCAATGTGGGAGAGGCATAGTCCTCTTAATAAGGAATTTTTCATCTGGGTGGTATCATTCACATTTATTAGCAAAGCCCCTTGACATGTTGTAACACTGCTTTTCATATATAAAGTTAAATGGTTCTAGGGTACTTAACAGAGCCAATACATGGTGATGAGAAGGGTCAATTAAGTGCACTTCAAAAAAAATAAATCTGTGCTTAGATATCTCAGTGAAGAACTTCTTTTCCTTTGAAGTGATTTCCACATTCTTTTCCCTCTTTTCTGTAAATGAAATATTTATGATGCCCAGAAATGGAAAGCAGCATTTTTCTGTGAGATATCCATTTAAGAAGAATAATAATTATAACAAAAAGTGGGAGGAAGATAAACAGGAGTCAAAGGGCAGGCAGACACTTGAGACTAAACGTCATAGTATTCCAATGGGTTTTTGCCTTTGTATTACAAATACAACCAGGGAGTAATGGGAGGAAAGAGGAATCCATGCCAACCCTTGCCTTCTCTCTCTTCTAACCAAAATGTGCCTATGGAAATAAGTGAACCATCCTTTATGTTAGTTGCTGTTTCTTTCTTACTAAACACCTAAGTAATAAAGTAATACGATTCCGTGAAACACAAGCTACAAATGTGTCCTAGGTTACAGTGTAAGATGTGCCCAAAAAAGTATTCTATTACTATCTTCATGAGCTGTTGAGACCAGGTGAGGCGGTGCTCCCTGCCTTCTCCCTCTGGACTATCTTCTGTTAATGGGCACAACAATGACTTATCGCATGACCCGCTCCTGGATTATCTCCTGTTAATGGCCCATCAAGGAATTGCCTCACGACTCACCATCCCATTGTGAGATGCCCGCCCGGGGGGAAGGAGCCAAGCATTCCATGCTAAATAAAAACAGATCTCCAACACCCTAGCAGCCTTCTTCCACTGGATTCCCAGAGGAGTTTTTCCTCCCCATTGGAGTTCCAGAGGACAAGAGCTACATACCTACCACTGGACCTTTGGAGGAAGACCAGACCCTTTTACAAGGTCGCTGCTTCAATAGAACTACATCCATCGCTTCAGGAGGACTGTAGCCAGCATCTTATCGGACTGCTACTGCCACCCTAACGGGATGTCAGGTTGTATTTCTGACTCTGTCAGTGTAAACCAGTGGGTTGATTTTTTTTTCTCTGCCTTGTGTTATATATATATACATATATATTAGTAAAGAACTGTTATTCCTATTCCCCATATCTTTCCCTGAAAGCCCCTTAATTTCAGAATTTTAATAATTTGGAGGGAAGGGAGTTGCATTTT